ACCTTGTAGAGGTTCATGGGGGTAAGGGTAGGGAGGTGAAAGGAGGTGTCTAGGCCCCATGGTGCTTGGAACCAACCCAGGTAACCTCCCCATTCCCTCCAGGCCTGGACTTACTGTGAGAGGAGGGGCCCAGGCGAGGACAAAGGCTGGTCTCGGGCCATGTCCATGAAGGGCTGTCAACCTGGGGTGAGGGCACAGGCAGCCAGAGGTGGGGGAGGGCAATCCCAGAAGAGCTGCCCTCCCACATTCCAGACTCCAGAGCCAGATAGGAGAGAGAGCTGGGACCACCTACCCACTCCTCCTCTTCCTCCTCCTTCATCTCCATTTCCTTCTCCTCCTCTTCCTCCTCAGGGAAGAAAGCGCCTTCTAGTTCCCCAGGTCCTAGGGGGCTGGGCTCACCACCAGCCAATGCCGAGAAGGCAGGGGGCATCACCACAGTGGCCTGCTGAGCTAGACTCTCCACCTGAAATACCAAGCACCCCAAAGATGGGTAGGTAGAGCCTCAGCCATGGTCATCTGAGATGAGACCCCTAGACTAGAGGTCACAGACACCACCCCCCGCCCCCCATCCTGGGCAGGTGGCCTGCACATGTGCACACAAGCCCTCTCACCAGCCGATCTCGGGCAGCACTGAGACCCGCCAGAGCTTGAGCTACAATGCTGTCTGCCACCGTCCCTGTGAGTGACAGCAGCATGTCTCTGAGGGCAGGAGAAGTCAGAGGTTAGCATGGGGACACTGGCCCAGCTGTAGCACCCCAGCTCTGTGCAGCCTACCTGGGTCTACTGAAGGCATCTTGCAGGAGCTGCTCTGAGAGCAGCTCTGGAAGGCGCCAGGAGCCTGCCAGGACCCCCTCTGGTTGCTCTCTCCGGCCAGGGCCCTGTGACATTCCTGGGCAGAGGCTCCTCAATGTGGCCTGGGTGAAGTCCTGGGCATAGTCAGAGCATGTCAGGGCTAAGGCCCTGGTCATTTGGCTTTGCTCCAACCTGACAGGGCATTGCTCTGCGACCACCACCACTAAGCCTGCAGGATGGGAATCAGGCCTGCAGACGGTACAGCTGGGGCAGGGCTGCCATCTCACCTGGATGTCCTGGTGGCAGACTTCACCCACCTGTCCCAACAGGGCCTCCAGCTTCTGCCGCAGCTGCCAGCAATGACCGGAGGAGTTCCCAGCCTCGTACAGAATGGGGAGGACCTGGAGGGTCAAGGATTGGAGCCCTGGTGGTGGAGGGGGTTACACGTGGGCAGCTAACCACAAGACCAGCAATTCAAAATCACCAGCCGCTCCGCAAGAGAAAAACAGGCTTTCTACTCCCCTCCTGTACAGAGTGACAGTTTCGGAAACCCACAGGGGCAGTTCTACCCTGTCCTGTCGGGTCACAATTGGTAAAGTCAACCCATGGCAGTGAGCTTGTAGCTTGTTGGGAATCAAGGAAGTTTAAAAAACGGTGCTGAATGAAGCTTTTGAAAGAAGGGGGGAAAAAAAAAAAGGAAGAAGAGGAAGGTGCTCTTGGCAGGTCTGTGTGTGTGTGGGGGGGTTAGTGGTGGCAGGGAGGCTCACGCTGAGAGAGAAGTTGGCGTTTTGGATGGCATCCTCAGCCTGGCACACAGCAGCTTCACCCCGGGGCCCAGCCTCGCAGCCCAGCAGCTCCACATGCTCCTGTAGCCACTGACACAGGCCCTTCACTTCCTGGGGGCCAGGCAACATCCGGGGTCAGATGCACCCGAGTCCCCTCCCAACCTCCCTCCCAGGGTGAATGAGGCCCGGAACACCATCGTGTCAACCACTTTGGACCCTATCAGCCCCAGGAAGGAGAGCAACGTCCCCTCCTTGGCTTCATTTTGGGGGTTTTCTGTGCACACAGCCCCCCTCCATGAGGATGGAGAGGTGCCCAGAACAGGAAGGAAGGGAGGCCAGTCCTACCTGTATTTTAGCTGTCGGTCCACTGCCACAGGGAAGAGAGATTTAGGGGTGGGGAGAGTGGGAGTGACATGCCCAAAGAGAAGGGGTGGGGGAGCAGGGACGGCTGACAGCTCCAGTGTGGTCAGGAGAGACAGGAAGGATATCCAGGCTCCTGGTCCCAGTGCTAAGGAGACACTGAGGCTTGTGGAGCTGGGCAGAGTGTGAGAATCCTGCAGTGGCTACTTAGAGGGATCCGTTGAGGGGGAGGGGCACCCTGTGAACCTAAGAGAAGACTCTGAGGAGGGCTTTGCAAAACTCCTCTAGTCTTTAACAACCCTGATAGTATGGAAAGTTAAGGGTTTAGATGCTAAGCAAAAGGTAAGCAGTTCAAACCCGACAGCCACTCCAAGGGGGTGGGGTGGGGGTGGGTGAGCGAAGATGACTTCCCTAAAGAGTTACAGCTTTGGAAACCTACGGGGGCAGTTCTAAGTTTTAGTGGACTTGACAGCAACGGCCTGGGCTTTTAATTGTTATATTGTTTATCTTTAACCAAAAAGCCTGTGAAAGGTAAGGCAGCAAGAGGTGGTAACAAGGGAGCTATTGGAGGAGCAGGGCCGGTTCCAGAGGAGAGGGACTTGGCAGGGACAGCAAGCCCCAGGAAAGCCGGTTCTCCGATTCAGGGACGCTCCAGCGGACACTGCTGTTCTCCTCTTACTCCCGGTTGGAGGTGGAGACACCAACCTGCTCCAAGGGGGTTGAGAGCGGAGCCAGCGGCTGCAGAAGCGCGGCGCCGTCAGAAGCGGAGGGGCCGGCGCGGTTGTTCCTCCAGAGGATGGCTTGGATCTGGAGGGCACGGGCTGGTGAGCCGGCAGGACAGGCCCGGGGCGCACCGACGGACAGAGAAGAAGGGGCACCCACCCACCTGGTGCACGGCACGTGCCGTCAGCTCCGGCCGGCTGCGCTGCGCCTGGGCCACGTCAAGCAGTGGCAGCGGCATGGCCTTCAGGCTGTGGTTCTGTTCCAGGGCCTGTGCCACGTCCAGCAGGCCCAGCGCTGACGTTTGGTTCCGGTCCCAGACCACAGACCTGATCCCAGCGCGGCTTCAGTCGGGGGCGGGGCTCCGCGAGGCCCCCCCAACCCGTTTGCTCCGCCTCCTTCTGCCCCGCCCCCGTCTGCGGCTTTTCACTTAAGCCCACCCTTCCGTACCACGCCCTCCGCTCCCGTCGGTCCCACCCTCCACGCTGACCCCGCCCACCGGAGCCTGGTGTTGACCCGTAGCGCCTTGGCTAGCATCTTGGCGCCGATGTCCCCCATGGCATTGCCGCTGATATCCAGCGCCTCCAGGTTAGGGTTGGTGCCCAGGGCGCGGAGTAGGACGCTGGCGCCCAGCTTCAGCCGCGACTCCGCTACAGACAGAGACTGCAGGGGCTGGGGTTAAGAGAGAGGCCATTGATGGTCGCAGTTAGGGACCAGCAAGGAGGGCAAGCCCAAAGGTCTGGGGAGCGAGTGTGTCGGGCCCTAGGGTGCCGAGAACTCACACAGTCGTCATCCTGCATGAGCTGGACAATCCGGTGCAAGACGTCGTCCAGGGTCTCCCTGTGGGCAGGGGCTGCTGTTGGGGGGGGACCAGGTGGTGGGGTGCTGCCCAAGAGGCCCGGGAGTGGGGTGGGAGCTCACTTGCACCGGACGTTGAAGTTCCTCCCGAGCGCCACATGTCGCAGGGACCGGCTCCTCCCGATGGCCAGCACCAGGGTCACCATGTCAGAGCCGAAGCCTGGGAGCGGGGGTGGGGTGGGGTTGGGGACGGCTCAGGTCATCCATGCGGTGGTGGGGGTGGGGGTTAGACGCTGGATGGATCAGGGGCGGAGAGGCGGCCTCACCGTTATCCCCCAGATCCAGGGAGCTCACGGCGCCAGCGTCACACACCAAGTCTTGTATCACCTGCGCGCCAGCAGAGCGCAGCTGGAGGCGGGAGGTGGGGCGATCTCAGGCCACGCGGGGACCCCGGGGCGGGGCGGGGCCCGGCGCCGTGCGAAGGAATGGGTCCGCCGCTGGCTCGCATTGCCCCCCTGGCAGGGAGCTCACCTCACAAGCGCTGAGGTCCAGGTGTAGGTCGCCTAGGTGCGTGTTGAGCGCCAGGCCTTCCAACAGAGCCCTGGGACGAAGGGCTAGGTCAGGCACACATGGGGAGCCCGCCGGGGGCCAGCCAGCGGAGCAGAGGAGGTGCTGGAGGGGTGGCCTGGCCTGGGTGCAGTGGGCAGCGACACTGACCTGACGGCGTCGGGCGGCAGCTTGCAGCCTGCCAGGCCCAGGTGCCGCAGCGCCCCCGCGCGGCTGAGGAAGAGCTGCAGCGCCGCCGGCGCGGACCGGGCCTTCCTGGGGGGCGGAGAAGTGCGTGGGCCTTTGCGCGCGCGGCCAGGCGGCCTCCCCCCGGCCCCCGCCCCCGCCCCGGCGGCCTTCCTTACGTGCGGGAGAAGACGGTTCTCGAAGCATCAAGGTGCGTAAGGCTGACGCAGCAGCCGCGGGACAGCGCTGCAAAGAGCTGTGGGCAGAGAGGGTGCACCCGCGGAGGACTGAGCCCCGGCTCGGCGGGAACCCCAAGCTTGCCGGGGTCCTGCCCCTGTCCGAGCCACCCCCATCCCAATCCCTCCCACCGACCGCTCCTCACAATGTCCAGGGCAGCGTCGGTGCCCGAGAGGTTCAGGAAGGTCAGAACGTTGGGGCGACTCAGGAAACTATAGAAGCCCTGATGGGGGGGGGGGGGGCCGCAGGTGGAGGGGAAGTCAGAGGGCTTCTCCAGAGGTTCCGTGGCTTGCTGCCTCCCATTCTCTGCTCCTGAAGAGAGGCACTCACCCCATTGTCTTCTGAGGGCCCCAGCGCCCCAGGGTTGGCAGAAAGGTCCAGGTGGGTCAGTGTGAAATCGAAGACCACATTGTTGGCCAGAGCCTGGCCAAGGGCCCTCATCCCTGCGGTGGGGGTGAGGGGGTGCTCAGCAATCAAGCAGACCTCCACCTCCCTGGGCCACCCTTCCTGGGTGGGCCTACCTCGAGGCGTCAACCCCGTCTGGGCAAGGTTGAGTTTCCTCAGGGCTCTGGAACGCTGCTCCAGGTGTCTACTGAGGGCAGTCATCCCTAGGGGATGGGGCAGCAAGGTGGGTCTCACCCTCCCTCTAGGGCTACCAGGCTCCCGGGCGCCCAGGCACAGCTATACCTCTGTCATCCAGTGGGTTCCCTGC